AAGGGGGGAGGAGGTAGAGAGAGGAAGAGGGGGGGGGGTCAGTGCGGGGCTACTCGTCACAGCCCAGGAGCTCCATCCGCAGGGTGATGCGCTCGTGCCAGTCCCACGGCAGGATGCGGACGTATCGGGCGTAGAACGAGGGCTCGAAGATGTTCTTTTTGTGAACGTTGTTGTCGCTGTTGCCTGGGAAGATCTGGACAGAGGAAAGCAACCAATGAAAATGACACAAATCAAAGCTGCTGGTCGACTTAACTAACCTGATAACAACCATTTTTGATGCTGCTTGTTTGATACAACTAAAAAGTTCTAGAAAGAACTGGAGTTAGAGGCCCAGGGTGTATGCAGGAATCCTGAAGTGAAATGTAAAACCTTTGAAGACCTTTTTTAAGACCCTTTCCATACATTTGAAGACCTCATCGCCACTTGGAGTTTTAACCGGTTACCTTGACGACACACTTTACCTCACATTGACTATATACAGTATTGATTGTCCTTCCTCCTTATCTTCCAACCATTTGGACGCAGACTTGCATTTCCCCATAACGATGTTGTTTAACAACCGGCGTAAACGGACCTTCGCGCGCTATCAAGCAGTGAGCGTGCGATGTCCTGTTCAGATGACGTCAAATCCAACGGGATGCCATAAATAAACTACACAGAATCACACTACACACCTACGCAATGATTACATTCAGGCAGACTGTAGAATACAACCTCTTTGGACAATTGATATACTTATTGAAAACAAGATACAAAATGTAATACCTTGGAAAATGCCGTTTAATACTTTTTAATAGCCTTCATTTTCGCTAAATTGATTTATCAACTTTTAATACTTTTTAAGACCCCGCGGACACCCTGACACCGCTGTTTAGCTTCCCCAATATTCTGTAACCCATAATGAAGGTCAGACTATTTCAAACCAGATTTGTTTTTTTAATTAAAGAATACTAAAAAATAAAAGCTTTAAACAAACTGTTTTCATATTTATGACAAAAAACGATATATCTTCAGAAAATATTTCCAAGGCAATAAGAAATAGAAAATAACAATAAACATATATATATATATATATATATGAAAAACGCCTCTCGATAACTCAGAATGAAATAAGAATAAAGGGCAGGCCTTACAGTTAGCACAGGCTCATAAACAAGGCAAACATTATCCAATACAAAAATGTATTAAAATCATATTAATTTTAAAGGGGACCTATCATGCAAAATGCACTTTTGTACGTCTTTTCTACATGAATATGTGTCCCCGGTGTTCCAGGGAACTCACCAAGTGTCAGAAAACACAACCCTCTCTATTTTCCTCCATACCCAAATCTCTTAAAAAGGGGCTGCAACGGATCTGATACAGACTGATCCAGATTTGAACACTTCTATGACGTCACAGAAGTGGCGCTACGGCTATTGGGCCAACTCCACCAATCAGGAGGAGACAGCCACGGACATTGCCGTTGGAAAGCGCTGGAGACGCTGTAGTACATATGCCAGGCCTGTAGATGGTGCTGTTCTCACAGAATCAGCCCATGATGCAAAGACAGTGTTAAATTGATCGAAATGAGGAATGGCTCAAATGGATGATCCCTTTGGTATTTTGAAAAATAAAAAGTATAAATATGCCTTATATAGGTATGGTCCTACACTATATTATTCAAATATAGCATGATAGGTCCACTTTAATTATAAATGTTTCATTGGATAAGTCCTAGCCTGTCAATGTTCCAGATCCTTAGTTTAAGGACTTCCTGTTGCTGTACTTTGGCAGGTTCATAGCATTATGAATGATTGCATACAGAGTCAGGAATAATTGGTACCAGGTGTGTAAAAAAAAAGCATCCAAAACAAGTACAAAGCCCTTTAAAAAATGGTGTTTTATATTTCTTTCCCAAAAATCTACTAAGAATTATCAGTCATTTTTGTTCTAAATGAATGATTATTATTGTATATTTTATGGTTTATATTACTATATTAAATAATGCTATTTGCTTATTTTGTACGCACTGCAAACATGCATTTCCCCTATGTTTGTAAGTCAATGGGTTTTTCAGGTGCTATCCTCTCTTTTTTGAAATTGACAGACTTAAAAATTGACAGACTTAATCAAACTCTTATGTTTTTCCCATAGTGATCAATTGTATTAGAATGTTTTCTGAGAATAGCTGGACTCACCCTGTGTGTCTTTGTAGTCTCGTCCTTCACGATGGTCCAGGACCGCCCGTCATTACTGTAAGCCACTTTGAAGGCTGTGACAAACTGGATGGAGCCGAAGTCTTTGGCCCCCTGAGTGATCACCCCTGTGACCTTCTTGGTAGCCCCGAGATCAACCTGAGGACACAGACACAGCTTTTCCTTACAAACACAGCCATGGGGCAAATAAACAACAACAATGTGTAGCTGGCTGTGTCCTCCTCTCTTACCTGCAGCCACTCTGATTGGTTGTTGGTGGCGGCGGTCCAGGCATTAGTCTTGCCCTGTTTGTCCAGACGGGCGTAGTGGGGGTACCAGGTGAACGCCTCCATGCCCCAGGTGCGGAAGGTGCTGGACGACGTGATCTGGCGGTTGGTCAACAGCCGGGACTTCATGCCCATGGGCTCTGAGCAACCTAAAGAGTTTGAATAGACTGTGGAGGTGAGACCAGGCAGAGAGGAGACAGAGAGACAAAGGGAGGAATGGAAAGAGAAAAGAGAGTATGATAGACAAGGGACGGACAGGAAGCAGCCCAGGCCAGCCAGTGATGTGAAGCAGAAAACAGAGAGGATGATGCAGTATAATAATAAGATGCAGAGGAGAGAGACGGGTGGACCTGCTTTAGACTTACCTGAGCTCACATGAACTAGGGCTGTCCCGAATACCATTTTTCGGGCTCCGGATCAGCAGTGAACCGCTTCAACACGTGTATTTCGGTTTATTCACGGCATTCATTTTGCTATTCTACAGTATTGTTGTTTTATAGTTATTTGTTTATGTAAATAACCCAATTTGTGTTCTTTGAAATTGAAAAGGATACTGCATTGTGTTTGATACTTTCGTTGTATATGTCTTAAGTGTAATTTGGCTTGGCTTCCTATTTTGTATGGACATGCTTTTATTTTGAAGGAGAGTTAGCGCTGTTGACAGGAAGTTGTTGTTGCTATGGAAACAACGTGACGGAGATTAACGGAGAAAAAGTAATATCTACATATAAAGACGGAGAAAGTAAACAATAACGGTTATGGTTAAGTGTTAGCACCCCACGAAGAGGCACAAGCTCTTACGTTGATATTGGAGATTTCAATAAATTCAATTTGAAAAGAAATTAAAAAAAACGAATATCCGAATAACGAAATTGAAACCCGAATACTACTCCAACGAACAAATATTCGGATATTCGGGTACAGCCCTAAAATGAACCATCATCAAATTTGCTGTATTTTCATACTTAACGTATCATTTCACATGATCAGGATCAGCTGAATTAGCCCTGAGAGATTACTATTAGACCTCTTATTGTATTTTCCTGCACCTTGAGGCTTTTCTCATGGGCGTCACTATTTCCAAAACTCAAAGGTGATGGCTCCTTAGAAGCCAGGCTCTTCTGGAATGACCTACTTGAGGAGGTTAGGGATTTTATTTTTGAAATATTTTTGAAATAATAGNACACAGCTGAAGTTTTTTTATTCTTTTTTTTTTTTATTGGATTTTAAGCACAAACATCCAACATCATATACAGACTCAGAGAAAAAACTAACGGTACCAGAGAAATAATAAATAAAAACAGGCAGGGACAAGTATAAGTACAAGTATCCATACATCAAAGTAAAACATCCAGTCATAGCAGCGCACATTAGTGCAGCATCTCCCTACCCACATTAGATATTGTGAGTGTCCCACATCCACTTATTAGTGTCTTCACACGGTTCCACCTTCCCCAGACATGTATCTACTGAAACTATCCCATTGTTCATTAGCCATGCCACTTGGAACATTCAACCTTCCCAGCATCTTTTCACATGCAGCAGTCTCCATCATTTGAACCCTCCACCCTGCACTCAGTGTAGGAGTTTGGGGAAGAGCTGAAGTTTTGAACCCTGTGCATGCTACATTGACTCTCTGTGTGTCTGACCTGCATGCGCATCTGCTTCACTAACCCACACTTAATAACAAGTCTCTTCCAGCCTTTATAGATTGTAAAATGAGCTCCACAAGTTTGTTTCTACTTTAGGTTTGGCATCTTAAAATAAATAATAACTTATATAACTTATATCACCTTTTTTTAAACACAGCTACAATGTGTTTAGAATCAAAACTTAAAAGACAAAGAGAATGAGATGAACTATTACTCAAAAATTAAACACAGAGTAAAGTCAAATAAAATGTCTTACAACAATAATTAAATTACAAAAAAAGCTATTATTTCAAAAATAATTCAAAAAGAAAATCCCTAACCTCCTCAAGCAGGTCATTCCAGAAGAGCCTGGCTTCTAAGGCGCCATCACCTTTGAGTTTTGGAAATAGTGACGCCCATGAGAAAAGCCTCAAGGTGCAGGAAAATACAATAAGTGTGAAATGATACGTTAAGTATGAAAATACAGCAAATTTGATGATGGTTCATTTTAGGGCTGTACCCGAATATCCGAATATTTGTTCGTTGGAGTAGTATTCGGGTTTCAATTTCGTTCTTCGGATATNCACACACACACACATACACATACACATACACACACACACACACACTGCTTTGCTTCTTGTTGTGTTCACAACACAAACATCAAAGTGCCATAAAAAAACGGTGAACACAACAAGAAGCAAAGCAGTGTGTGTGTGTGTGTGTATGTGTATGTGTATGTGTGTGTGTGTGTGTGTGTGTGTGTGTGTGTGTGTGTGTGTGTGTGTGTGTGTGTGTGTGTGTGTGTGTGTGTGTGTGTGTGTGTATTGATAGGTTTCAGTAGCATTAACTGTACAATAGGAGCAGATCTGTTTTGACCTGAGACGATAACACCCACCATTATTTTTAAACCTGCAGCTCGCGTCAATCTCTTCCTGTTTGATGCCAACCAATTAGTCACAAACACGACACTGAAGTCATTTTTGATTTAATACTTTAAGTGTCCAGATCTGATCCAAAGAATCCCAACAGCCTGTTAGAGAGGAGCCTTGTTAACCGTAACCTGACCAGAAACGTGGCTTTTTTTAAATAACCCACCTACATGGCATCTGATACACATGTGCTGTCTCAGCCGATGACAAATGGAGACAGTGTAATAAAAACAATTATCTGAATGAATAAGACTCTGAAGATCCTTTGTAAGATGTCGATGACAGCAGCACGTGTTAAACGTCCCTCGGCGGCTATTGTTCATTCCTCAAGAGCAATATAAAGTGTTTCAGTTTAATGATGATCTCAAACTGTTTTGTTTATAACATCCTGTCTGTCAGAGAAGGCGTTTCCTCTGGCTTTAAATCTGTTTAACTGACTGTGATGGTTCAAGTCTTTTGTTCTGTATGTGTCTGCGTCAGCTCACCATAAACTATTATTTTCTACACAAATACAAACAATGTGAGGTTCAGTTGGCAAAAGGATAAAGGCATGACTTCGCCCTGATTCGGCCTGATGCCGTCAGGTTGTAATATGCATATGTACACATGATTTGTGTAAATAGTGGGATATTCTGTTGTTGGCTTTAGAGTAAATCTTATGTTTTGATTTCACTTTCTAAACTTCTGCAATGAAATGGTAGAAATAGTGAAACTCGTTGAGATTCTGAGTCACTTGTTATTGCTCAACAGTACCACAAATAAAGCAAATTGACTTGTAAAAATGTTTCGGATTTGCTTTGGAGTTTTTCCAACCTAAAGCCACACAACTCTTACCAGATATTAAAGGTTTCTTGTCAAGTTATAATCATATTGTTTGATTAGCCATAAGCGTTTCCGATGAAGATAATTGATATTGTGTGAAGGGTTGGGTTATAGGACTGGAGAAAGCTGTCAGGTGGAGTATGTACATCACCAGCCGTGGGTCTCAGAGGTTTTAATGTTCCAGGTAGAGCTGATCTAGGATCAGAGTGTAGGCAGCACCAGCGGATACAGCAGCAGCAGCAGCAGTCCTGTTACCCCTGACCTCTGACCCAGGGACGAGGGAGGGGCCATGTTTGTTTAATCTGACCTCAGCTCTGCTCAATGACAAACAAGAGAAACGTTTGATTCTTGGAATGATCACAGATTTGGTTCAGGTGGAAAGAAGAGTGATCACTTCAGGAAACAAAGAGGGGAGGCTGTAAACTGTCATCGCCCTGGTAACAGTGGTTAGGGGTAACACCTCCCACCTCCAAACCAGCCAGGGTCAGGTGATGCTGTGCTACTCTGGTGTCTGCTGCCCCCTAGGGCTGAGAGCAAGGCAGTGCAGGTGTGGCTCAGGAGGGAGAAGGAAGGGGGGAGGAGGAGGAGGAAGAGGGAAGGGGGGGAGGAGGAGGTAGAGAGAGGAGGAGGAGGGGGGAGGAGGAAGAGGGAAGGGGGAGGAGGAGGAAGAGGGAAGTGGGGGAGGAGGAAGAGGGAAGGGGGGAGGA